CCAGTGACGTGCAAATGCACACAGACCAGGTTTCTTTCAGCTATATTTCCCTATGTGTTTGCAGATCAGGAGACAGTATATTAGACACCTGTAAAGATGTGATTATAAAAAGTAAAATTAGAACAGGAAAAGATGCACTGGGGGACTTAACCGCTTCGTCAAGGGGACTGTGATCATCCTACAGAGTCGAGAAGAAAGGGTCCACTGTATTGCAGGTCTAAATACATTGATTTTCTCATGATAAACTTCTTTTGAGTTATTAGTTCATGACAACTCATTCCATATTTTTAAATTATTAACCAAAATAATTTGGCAGCTTGAAACTCACACTGATAATGTGTGCATGCATGCCCAAAATCCTGAGAGGAGAATGGAGAAGAAGGAATTGTGGTGTGGTCATCCCCTGGTGGGGGAGGAGGTGTGATTTCTCTCTTTCTATTCATCTTTTTCTATCTTTCTGTAGAAAGCACATACCCTATAGCAAAAATCTCTCTTTCTCTCTCTCTCAAAAAAAAAAAAATATATATATACACACACACATAAGCTCATTGGGTAGCCTTCCTGGCACAAAGGTAACTCACGATTCTGCATGCTCAAGCCATGTGGGGAGGTCCTGGGGTTGTGTCCCGAGTCCTCCCTATACATGCAGGGCATACCTGTGTTCTGGGCTGCCTGATGCTGTGGGTGGATTAAGATGTGAGGCCCTTGTTGGGAAGCCAGTTTCCCTCTGATAAAAATAATAATAATAATAAAAAATATATAGCCTTGTAGCCATAAAGCAGAGTGCACTGTGCTGTCCGGCCTCGCAGAATCTCAGAGCCAGGAGCTTCTACCAGTCTGTCATCCCTCTTTCCAGGGGGATCTTAAGATAGTTTCTACTTCTCACACAAAGCAATCACACCTGTGGTTGTGGTCCAACACTGTCTCACATGCCCCCAAATGATCCCAGGTGTCCTTCTGTTAATGGCAGGAAGTAAGATGCCAACAAAGCTGCCCTGAAAATGTTCATGACATAAAGTCTGAGGCAAGACCAAAAGGCACACAGAAACCCAGCTTGAACTGAAAAGCAAAAGTGGGAGGGTAATTTATCCAAAGACACCAATGTAGTGTCTTCCAGCACCCACTTAGATGCCCAGCACTGAAGGGTTAAGTCATGGGGGAGGGCGGGGGGAGACACATGAAAATGTAGAGCTTCTAGAACACCATGACTTATTCCACAAAGTTTTGTCAGTACTGATTAATGGAAGAAATGGGGGTGGGAGGTTTCAGCACCATTACAATAGCACCAACAAATCCAAATTTCTACATGATTCTAAGACCAGACTGCAAATGCTCTGGCATTACCTAGGAGGTTGTCGGCAAAGTCGTGATGGATTTTTCTATGTTTTTCTACGCCAAGATATGTCATGACTTTGCCGATGACTCAGTAAAATCTTGCTAGGGTCAAGGACACAGCCAGGAGAGAAACCCAGAGCCAGAAGGGAGCCAGAAGCAGCCATATGCTTTCTCCATAAACTCCTAGGTTGAAACAGGCTGATGGTCTGACAATTACGCAGCACAAACTTAACTTCCATGTTAGAAGGAAAGGGTAATGTGTGTTGGCCAAGAGGGCAAGAACGCTGGTCTCAAGGCCACCTGTCAGTTATAAGATTTTAGAGTATATTATTATAACCTCACCCCCCACAAAAGAGCTGATATATATATGTGTGTGTATGTGTGTGTGTGTATTTTTTTTTCTTAAAGAGATTTTTGCTATAGGGTGCATGCACTCGCCAGAGAAACAGAAAGAGATAGAGAGACGGAAAGTAAGAAATCACCCCCAGGGAATATTGCCAGGCCACAGTCCCTTCACTCCTTTCTCCTCTTGGGATCTTGGCATGAACACACATGCACCTGGCATGGGTTTTAAGTTGCCAGGTCCAGGACTCAAACTGCAGTTGAGTATGTGGGAGGCCAGCAACGTAACCATGATGTCATCTGCTGGTTCCGAGAGCTGACATTTTAACAGCACCATCTCCAAAGGAAATGGAAACTCAGAAAAAAATAATTACATATGCATGAAAAGTAAGAGGGTTCATTTTAGGGTTGGTTGATGCCTATCTGAGACAGCACAACTCTGGAACATGCTGCCTCTTTGCTGATGTCTGGTCACCTGGGATGGTGTCCCTTACAGGAGCCACACACACTGCCTTCACAATGCGAGTAGGATGGTTTGTGACCTGAAGGTGACGGCACGCTGGCAACATGGACGGCCTTGAAGATCTGGGCGTGTAGATTGACTGTCTAAGGAGGAGAATGAGTCCTGGGAAATCTAGATTTTCTAACTGCGGGACTGTCTGGAGGTGTTTAAAATGTACTAGATGAACAGGGGGGTCAGCAGGTGGCATGGTGGTTGAAGTACTGGACTCTCACTTGGCCGACAGTGGTTCAAGTTCTGGACACGGTGACTTGCTTTCTCACTTTCCCTCTCTCTCTCTGGTCAAACCGAAGAATAATAAATAAATTAACATAAATAATTATTTTTAAACAATAATAAAATACACTAGATAGAGGCCAGCAGACGGTACGGATTGAGGCCCTGGATCCACATAGCCAACTGTATGGTTTGAGTCCTGGAGGTTTGGAAATCACACGGAGTGTGCAGTGTGTGTGCTCACCACCCCAACAGGAGAATGCAGAAGGGATTTCAGCATGGACATCTCACCTAAAGAGGTGATCTCTCACCCATCCCCCCTTTTTCTCTGGTGAGCACATGTGCCCTATATTAAACATAAATATATATATATATATTTAGATTAATATATATT